GACCACTTCTGTCCACCATGATTGTCTCTCTCCTTGTGGACAACAGTAACATCACAGTTGCCCTGCTTTTTTTTTTTTTTTTTTTTGAGAGAGAATTTTTTTTAATATTTATTTTTTAGTTTTCGGTGGACACAACATCTTTATTTTATTTGTATGTGGTGCTAAGGATCTAGCCCAGCGCCCCGCGCATGCCAGGTGAGCGTGCTACCACTTGAGCCACATCCCCAGCCCCCTGCTTTATTTTTGCCCACACCTACTACCCTTGATCAGTTTGTTCTCAACATCATAATCAAAGCCAACCTTGTGAAGTAGTGGTTCTTAAAGTGGGGTCTGCAGACCAGCAGCAGCAGCTACACCTGAGAAATTTATTGAAAATGCAAATTCTCAGTTCCACCCACCTGCAGAATCAAAACCTCCAGGGCCGGGCCCCCAAGTCTATGTTGTAACAAGTCCTCCTGGTGGTTTTCATGCCTGTGGAGGTTTGAGAACCAATTTTAAGCCTAAATTTGATCATACCACTCCTCATCTCAAAATCCTGCCATGACTCTAAGAAGTCATTGCAATGGCTACAAGGTCACATGCATAATCTGGCCTCTGGATACTTCACTGAATACTCACCACTCTACTCTTTGATGCACTTGCCCCTCTCCACACCCAAGGCCTTGACTTTCACTACTCCTTCTGCCTGGAATGTCCCCAGATCCCTAAATTCCCAAGCTCCCCACCCCACCCACCATGGCACAAATATCTCTTCACCTTGGTCTCTTTTCAAGGGTCACTATCTTGCTTTAATTATGCTACATAATTGTTTATTGTCTTTCTCTTCCCAGAGTCTAGAACCAACTCTGGCAAATAATGAGTGCCCAGGAAGCACAAGAAAATGAGCTAAATGATAAAAATATGGACAAATACTAAAAACAAACAAAACTTTTCATGATCCCCAAGTTCTGGGTCTGATAGAACCAAATCATCTACCTTTTTACCACCTTCACTGTTTTTCCCTGCCATTGGCCTCACAGAGAAAATACAAGCTTATGCTGGTATTTACCTAAGCAAATATAATGAGGGAGGCAAAGAAAAAAAAATCTTGCTTTCCATGGCCCCTGGACAAAGCTACAAGTAAGAGGAATTACTTGCTGCTTTTTTTGCTGATATGTTCGCACTGTAAACACTGTATAAATCCCACTTCTCTGCCCAATTACTCTGTTCTATTTTAAAAGCAGTTAATATTTTGTAATTAATCACCAGAAGTGGCTTCCCTTACATACTTATTAATTTGCTCAAAAATGTGCTCTCTATGGTGTATTATGGAGATCGCCCCTACCCTACTCTTTGAAATTAAAGATTGTGTTCTTTGCTAAGCATCTGTCAAAATGGCAAATCACTGCTGCAGGGTGAATCTGGAAGTGGTTCTCCTAAAAAGATAGTCAGATGTTGCTAGAAGGAAGACCCAAGGCCATCCTCCTTCTCTCTCTTACCTCTCCAAATAATCTCATCTAGTCCCATGGCTTTTGCAGGCTGTTCTGCAGGCTGTTCACTCCCGTGTCACCATTTGGAAGTCCAAGAAGGAAAACAGAACTCATGCTGGGAAAGTCCAGGAAGGAACACAGAACTCATGATTGGACTTTGCAGTAGAGAATTTAACACTGCAGTCACTTTCAAAGATGTTGGAAAAACTATAAGGGCAAACTGAGGGCGGGTGAAGTTACCTAGAGAATAGCAGCATCAGGAAGCTGCTACCCTAACTAGGGCTAGAGAGACAGTGGGAAAGTGGGGTTATGAGAGTTTAGGAGTAATGGGAACTGGAACCATGAAGGAAGGCCTGCCTTATGGAAATTCAAACCACAGAAAAGATGGATCCATGCTAGCGATGTGGCACACAGCCCAGAGAAGGGAAATGTACTCTGGCTTTCCCTTCTTCCTGAATGTGGTCTTCTGCCGGTGTCTTCCATTGGCCAACCTTTCCCAGGGAGCCAGTTGGCAAGGAAGCTTGGGAAATGTAGTTTGCTTGGGTCAACCTTGAATACTCCACTTGCTCCCTCTGTTTCCCACCCCATCCCCTCACAGCAGAGAAGAAAAAGCTGAAGTAAATTGAGACACATGATGGACAGATCCCCTAATTTTTCAAAAAAATAGTTTTTAGTTGTACATGGACACAATATCCTTACTTTATTTATTTTTATGTGGTGCTGAGGATTGAACCCAGTGCCTCACACATGCTAGGCAAGCGCTCTACTACTGAGCTACAACCCCAGCCCGTATCCCTTAATTCATATCTCCAACTCAGACCTCTTCTCTGAACTCAATCTTCCATTTCGTTTACCTGGCACCTCCACCTGAGGGTCTAATAGTCCTAACTTAACATAGAACAGAAGGAACCCTTGATCACCGTCAGCCAACTCTCCTTGGGGTTCTACTTCTCGGAAGATGATTTACCCACTCCTCAGCCACATATATGGAGGTCACCTTTGATTTCTTTCTTTCCTTGCTCCATACGCCTACCAACCTTTCAGCAAGACTTGGTTCTACCTCCCCAAACAGATCCTCTCCATCTCCATGCTGACTACCTTAGGCCAGGCCACCAACTTTCCTCTCCTAGGTGGCTATAATCACCTCCAAACTGGCCCTCCACTCTCACTGTGTTCTCTTACAATGCACATCCAGGAGGCAGTTCCTGTAGACCCTGAGAGCAGCTGGACTTCCTGGTAGGGAATGAAATATAGGGTAACCAAAGTAGAAGAAGAAAGGAAGATCCATTAGGAGGTGATTGTACTTTTCAATCCTCTTCTCCTCTTCTCCCACCTCGTCTATCACTGTCCCCTCCTTTCCAGCTACTGGTCTGCTCCTTGTTCCTCTAACATGCCAAACTTGTTCTCTCCTTAGGGCCTTCCCATCGCCTAGAAGACTTTCCCTGATTTTAGCACAAATGGCTCCACAACACTCAGGCCTCACCCTCTGAGATGGTTCCAGACTAGGCCATCGTGATTATAATGGCTGTTCTCATCTCTCTCCTTTGGGACACAAAGCAGGATTGCACTTCTTTGTGCCCTGGACTTTAAGTGGGGCCATATGACTTGCTTTAACCAATGAAATTGGGATGGAAGTGACAAATTTCTACTGGATACAAACTTTAAGATTTACTGTGTGTGTCTGCTCTTTTCCTTCTACCTCAGTAACTTGCAGTGTTTCAGATAAAGGCTACTCTAAAGGCCTAAGCCCTGGAGTGTGGATGACAATTATCCAGAGCACAGCTCTCCACCAGCCTGTGGACACGTAGTTTGAAGAAGAGAAATCTTTGCTGTTTGAAGTTGCTAAGACTGACTGTTACTGCAGCATACCTAGCCCATCCTGACTGGTCATCCTTCAGTCTCTTACCTCAACCTGTACTAGGTCCAATTGTGGAATTTACCAACTGATAATGTCCACTTGTTAAGTCTCATTTATTGATTTTATTTCCACTATGCATCCGCCTTACAAGTCCAGGAAGGCTCCTTGTGAGCAGGGTCTGACTACCTAGTTCATCCCTATACTCCCAGCTTCCTCACGTGACCCGTGCAGTCAGTAGGCAAATATTTGTTGGTTGGACTTATACATAGAAACATGTTACTTGAGCCCTATTTTTACAACAAAACTGGAACGAATGTACCTTGTGCTCAGCATATCCAAAGCACCAAAGTCTAAAGCGTCACTCTGTTATTTGTGGGCTGGATCTGTGGCTAGGGTTACACACCCTCCCAGCTAATTCACAGGAAACCAAGTTGCTCCCAAGGCTGCCAGAGTTCCTTGGTCAGAAAGGGCTCTGCTGAAGTCCCTATATAGCAGATAAAAGAAATGGAAACTTATAATCCTGAGCAAAGTTACCCAGGGTTAGGAGACAGTGGGACAAAATTCATTTTCATACTGTTCTATGGCTAAAAGGCACACAGATGTTCTGCCCCCTCTCACAGGTTTCTATGCTGGCTGAACTTAAAACCTTAAAAATGGCCACATCTCAAATTTCACTATAGGCATAAAATATTAGCACTATTGAAAAGGGTCTTAGGGATCACTCAATGCTTACAACTCCATTTATATCTGGCTTGATTGGGAGCCTCTCAGGGTCTCACTGTTGCCTACTAGGGACCTAGGACTTAGAACCTCATGTTAGACATGGTATTGCTTAAAGTCATGGACTTTTTAAACCAAATGTTTTAAAATATACTTTTTCTACTAGCTCATTATATAATGGTAATAAGGCTATAAAGAAAAACCTTATGAAATCAATCATGCAATGTTTAGGTTTTATAATTTTTCTCCTCACTTAAAAATGTTCTTTCAAGTTTCAAAATGTCTAAGATTTTTGAATAAGCTTCTAGAAACTGTGGAGTTCTTGTTTTTAAAGGAATCAACACCCTCTATAGGACATACTAGTTTCTTTAGGGCCATCTGAGTGGGTAATTACATTCTACTCATTTAGCTTTTAGACCCTTTATTAAGTAAGACTGTTTCCCAACTAGCAAGGACATTTTATCTAATCTGCAAAACAAGTACATTACCAAAATATCAACTCACTAAACACTTGATGTGAAACTACTGACTTTTAACGTTAATTGATGACAATTTCCATAATCTTGTTCTATCTAAATTCAATATTAATCAGATTTTAATTCTAAAGTTCATTTACCATACACCTGCAACTAAAACTCTGGGGGGAAACAAAGAGATTATCCCTCCCACCCATACCAGGTGATGTGCTAAAAATAGATAGTTGAAATACTACAAGTCTCTCAAACACAAAGCTGTATTCACACAAGGGAAATAAGTTGCATGTGGTTAAGGAAAGAGGAACTTTTCACACTTATTTTAATATTTATATTTTACTGAAATTTTCCTGAACTCACTAATGATTACTAATGCTTTTTATAGTATTATTTTCTGCATCCAAAAAATTAGAGAGAGAAAAAAAAACTAAGCAGAAAACAGTACAGTTGAAGAAAACTGGATGTCAGTCTATACAATGATTTACTTTCGCCATGACAGACTTTATTTTGGCACTTTAACAAATATTTTGCTTTACAGCAGTGACAAAATATTTGCCAGAAAATTTCTTTTCCTGGCACGGATATTCCAAGCAAGTTTTCTATGAATAGAATTTCACTCTGCTTTGCACATTGAGAGGTATACCCACTGCATTCTTAATCTCTGTGATTGAGGGGGACTGTGTGGCTTGAGAAGGGCCTATCATTTCCTTTTAATCACTCTAAGCAAAGTTAACTGAGTCTGGAAGTGATGGGGCAGGCATTTGAGAATTAAGGCCATTAAAGATTTAGGCAAACACTGTTCTAAGTGTAGCTTTAAAAACAAAACCAAAAAAAAAATTAGAGTGAGTTCTGTGGCAATTCCAGGGAATGTTCTCTAAATGAATCATTCGAACTTTATTAAATAAAGTAAGTTATATGTTGGAAAAAAAATCACTTGTTTTCTGTCTTCTTCCCACTTCCATAACTCAGTTTAAAACAAAATGAATGATAAAATAGGAAAAGGAAATGTTCAGTACAGTAAGTACCAGACAGGGCACCCTCAGACCTTCACATCCTCAAGTGTCACTTGAGCAACTTCAATCCTGAGCAGCAGGGTCCTCATTGTAACACGCAAGGCCTCTCTGCCCTTCCCTCCTTCCATATAGTGACCTGTGGTGTTCTGTATACTGGCTCTTCTGTTAAGCTTCAGGAATAGTTTCAAAGGTAAGTCAATCTATAGGACTAAGCCTGAGACACCTCCTTCCAGAAAGCCCCCTTTGGTTCTTTGGAATTTACAGTCTTAAAAGTTATGCATCTGTCTCAGTACTGCCATTATCTATTCTATAAAGGTTGCAAACGTCAAAATTCCCTGGCAGCCTTCTAGTATCAGTACCCAGACACACACAGGATCATACATTCAGATTTCCTCTGGCCAATTCAGAAGTAAATTTGGTAATAAATAGCTCATTGACAGGCTCTTTGGTCTTGATTTACAGATACTGTGGAAACACTTAGAAATCAAACCCACGTCATCCTTGAGAGCAGACGGTTGTTAGCAAAGGGGAGATGTACATTTGATCGAAAATGTACAGAATTTATAACAGTGACATTTTCAATATTAGGCCACATGATTTATTCAGTAGTTTTTATGTTCCCAAATTACAATTTATGTCTATTCATAAGACTACAAAAGTTACCATTAGAATTGTCTGTGCTTATAAAATACCAACTTTTTTAAACTGTTATATATACTCATTAACACCAGTCTGCGACGAGTTACATAGAATCATAGGCACTTCAAAGGCTTAAAAAGATGTTTACAACTTAAATGCATTTTTAAGAACAAAAACTGATTTTTTTTTCTTTAAACCCCTCCTCGTACCTTCAAATTGCAAGAAATTAACAAATACAGTGGCCAAAGAAATTTGCAGCAACTTCTCAAAATACTGTTAAGCATCTTTGGGTTTGCTGAGGCTTGTCAGTAATTCACATCAAATCCTCCCAGAAGAAGATCTGATTAGATAGATAGGACTAAACAGTTTTGTAGTAATAATCCAATTTTACACATTAACTTGCTGTTGCAAATCTGCCTGAACCTACAGGTAATGAAAAATAAAGCAAGTGTAAAATGGATAGTCTGACATTTAAAGATTTATACAAAGTGGAGGTTAAAGTTTACATTATTTGAAAAATCACATGTACACTAAGTTACCATTATTTGAATCATCCAAAGACAAATTGCACCATGACAGCTACAAAAGGCATAGGGTTTGGTTTGGTTTTTAAGGGGACAAGAGGAGAGGGCAGAGAAGAGGGTACAACAGATAAATTAACAAAAGTAAGACCAACTTGGTAAGGTCCATCTGAGACATGCTGACACAAATGACACAGCTTTTATCTTCGAACCATAGGTTAAAAACAATCATTTTGCATTTGCGCATAAAAGTTTAAACCAATTCTATGAACATCCAGGGTTTCCATAACATAATATTTTGCCACTGCTATTCACAGAACACTGCAGATGTTAAATTTTAATTTTACGTTGTTCTAAAGAAATACATGAAAAGTTTTAAATACAATGGGATTTTGTCATTAAAGTGCCAGAATGGCTCTTCAATGAAAAATAACAAAAAAAACCCAAAAAACAAAGATCTTCATTATTCTATGCAAAAGCTTTATTTTGAAAAGTTCAGTGATCTCATAAATAGAGACACTAAAGTGTGAGTTTTATGCGTAAAACTCCTTAGTAGGTGCCTTCTGATAAGCAGCACTGGATGGTTTGCGTTCCCCAAGATCATAGCTTCCTTCGTCCTTCTTTCTCATGCGGTACACCAACAGCAGGATAAGGAAAATCGCAAAGAGAAAGCCAATAACTCCACCAGCAATGACAGCTGAAAGCCACCAAAAGGAAGATTATATTTAGATGGGATTCAAGGGTTGCAGAAATGCTTTGTCAAACCTAATCTATTTCCATTTTTGTAAAAGGCTTAATTTGAAAACCCATTTAAAAAAAAAAGAAAGCTTGGATTCAATAAAAGTGATTATGCAAATTTAACATTCCTTAGGAAGGTATAATACTTTCTTTGATTACTATTAATAACACCCAAAAACCCAATAAGAAAAATCTGGCTGTGACCTCAACTAATTCCATACTTTCAGAGGCTTTTGTCTTTTCAGTACTTACATTTTATATTCTAATCTTCTAATTGCTTTTTCAATGAAAACACAAAACATGATATAATTGAATTATCATTTTTTAAAAGAGTAAATATGAAGAAAAGCATGCAAATTTCTTTCTAGTCTTGAATGTGAGACTATTCTTTCAAGGATTAGCTGTTCTTAAATCTTGCAAATCTTCCTCTTTAAAACAAATGTTAGCCAAGTGCTGTGGTGCACACCTGTAATCCCAGCTACTAAGGAAGCTGAGGCAGGAGGATCACAAGTTTAAGACCAGTCTTAGCAACTTAGCAAGATAAAAATAAAAAAGGGTTGGAGTTGTAGCTCAGAGGGAGAGTACCCCTGGGTTCAATTCCCAGTAATGCAAAAAGAAAAGATAAGACGAGCAAGTGTTAGAACAGGTTGAGTATCTCTTATTGGAAATAAGAGATACTCTTATTGGGTCTAGAAATGTTTCAGTGTATGAACTTTTATGGATTTTGCAATATTTGCATACATACGAGATATCTTGAAGATGGGATCCAAATCTAAATATGAGATGCATTTATGTTTCATTGACACCTTATATACATAGCTTAAAGGAAATTTTATACAATATTTAAAATAATTTTGTGCATGGAGCAAAGTTCATGTTGTGCTTAGGTTTTGACATCAATCCATCATACAAGGTCAGGTGTGGGATTTTCCACTGTGGTATCATGTTGGCATTCAAAAGCATTTGGATTTTAGTGCATTTCAGATTTCAGATTCTCAGATTAGGGATATTCAAACTGGGCAGTATTCTTATCAACTGTCCTCTCTGCAAAGAACATTTCCTTCTCCTAAGTTTGTTTTGATATCAGGGATGATTTGGAGCAAGGCTGACTGAACTTCAAACCCTGACACATCCAATTCTAAATTGTGCTCACCTAGCATGCGTGAGGCACAGAGTTCGATCCTTAGCACAACACAAATGTAAAATAAAGATATTGTGTCCACTTAAAACAAAAATAATATTAAAAAGAAAAAAAGAGCCCTATTTAAGCATCCTTCCGCCTGACCCGTACCCACAACTCACCTGCTAGGACTTCTGTCCGTTTAAACAGATTGTCTGAGTGCTTCTCAGTGTACACATTTGTATTCTCATCAGTAGAGTCCACTTTCCTTTTTGAGTCAGAGTTCTGAACTTCTTCCTTATTAATTTCTTCAGGTGACTGGTATGGGAAAAATTAAAAACATTACTGTTAAGTAATAAACAAGTAAATATATATATATACATACATACATATACATGTACATATGTATATGCTCTTATTTTTTAAAATATTTTTTTAAGTTGTAGGTGGACACAATACCTTTATTTTATTTGTTTTTATTTTTATGTGGTGCCAGGGATTGAACCCAGTGCCTCACACATGCTAGGCAAGTGCTCTACCACTGAACCACACTCCAGCTCCTGTATATGCTTATTTATAAGTCAACATATATACTATACATAAATAAATGTATATAAATATATCATGTATAATTTATTTACATAAATTTATATTTACATATAAATATAAATATAAAAATATAAATATATTTGCTTGCTTATTTATTGTAGTACTGGGCTAAATGGGGATTGAACCTTGAACCCAGGGGCTTGCTACCTCTGAGCTACATTCCCAGTCCTTTTTTGTAAATTTAAAATTTTTATTTTGAGGCAGGGTCTTACTAAGTTATTGAGGGCCATGCTAAATTGCTGAGGCTGGCCTTGAACTTGTCTCTGTAGTTGCTGGGATTACATGCATGCATCACCATACCTGGCACTGTCAATTAAAAAAAAAAAAAAATGCCAGGGGCCAGGGATGTAGCTCAGTGTATAGTGCTTACCTAGATGCATGTGGCCCTAGGTTTGACCCCACAACATTGCAAAAAAAAAAAAAAAATAGTAATAGCAATATTAAATGTGCTGGAAACAGTAAATAATGGGTGAGTATATTCCAATGTTCCTTTTTAAGAAGAAAAAATGAGTTTAAGAAATAATTGGAACTACCATTTTGTATGTTTGTATCAATGGGCGAGGCCCATGGTGGACCCATGTAATTCATGGGTTTGCATAAAACCCATCACATGAACAGGCAAGATGGATGTTTTGTGAGTGCATAATAATGCTAATGACATTTTAGTAAGCAGGCATTTTGTAAGATTTCTCCTTTCTCACCACTCTCCTGACTTCTGGCCACCATCTCCCTTCCACTGCTCTAACCTAACACCATTGCCGTGATTCTCCTTACTCCTCTATCTTTTTGCTACCCAGGACACTGTGTGACAGCTCCTTTTCAGGCATTCTCTTGTGTCCAACCATGTTCTCTTGCTCCCACTGTGGGGAGAAGCCCCCCAGCCTCCCTCTACTTAGTCCAAGTACTTCCATGAACCCTGGACTAGGACTTCAAAGGACCTGGGTTCTTCAAGTAGTTCCTGTGGGACTGACCAAGTCATGTGATTTTTCTAGACCTCAGTTTCCCCATCTAATGAAGGACACTCCCAGGTTCTTGGATACTCCACAGTGCTAGAGAGAAAGTCTATGGTAATTACTCTCACTGCTTCAGTTTCATTTAGCAATATTCCTGCCTAGCCAGCAGCCTACAGGACACTGACCCTTGGCTGTGACACTTTGAACTCTATTTGTCAAATTTAGAAAGAAATTTACCACTGAATCAGATCAGCCCTCTTTTCTATTTCCACTAATGGTAACATATTTGGAGGGAAGACATACTATTTTAGCAAATTTTATACAGTGTCTCCCTATATCATGGTCCTGTCAATTTGCCTCTTACCAGTATCTCAAATTAAAATTTTTTTTTCTTGGATTCTCATTTCCGCAGCTTCATACAGGCCTTTAACACCTCATACCCCAAGTTCCTACAACATCCTGAGAAATGCATATGCTGGGTAGGTTCTAGTTTCCTCCCAGCCCACCACTTACTTTTGAGAAGAAAAATTCTGATATCCATTTCCACCACCTCTCACTTAGCCTAAATGATTTTAAAATCCGTTCTCTGGCTTATGCAATTCTCCTATTCAGTCCAGATTTGTCACTTCTTTTCTTCTGATCATTCACCTCTCTTAAACCAGAGAGCACTTTAAATCCTACAGAACACATGTTGCCCTTCTAATGTTCAGCATTGTCACTGGCCATCTCGTGTGACATCACACAAGGTTATATTGAAATATGAAAATCTGAATTACTTGAAAATCATTAGAAATAAAACGACCCTACAACCAGTGATTCTGTTTTTAATTGGTCTGGGGTGGGAGAGGTAGCACTGATTATTATTGCTGTTTATTTAAAGCTATCCAGATGATTCTATGGTTTGAGAAGCCTGTAGTTTGAGATGTTCTGTACAAATAAGTTATCTACTCTCATTGGCCCATACTATTGTTGAAAACCACTGCCAACTCTGTTAGGCTATAAAGAAAATGAGTTGTTTTTTTTTTTCCCCCTCTTTAATTCTTCCTGAGAGTTTCACCAATCTTCATTAAGACTCTGCAGTCCAACATGCCATGGCCTGGTCAAAGAATGACTGCTTCTTCAAGGTTGGGGTTCATTCAAAATGGTAGCCTGCTGCTTAAGTCGAGAGGGTTAAAAAATATAAGAAGAAAAGATGTGATCTCCTTGGGTTGCTTTAAACCTTCATTTCTAGAAAGGACCACAAGCTAGACAAGGTGGATCAACTGAATACCAGGGTATGCAAGATGTGGGTCTCTGTCTCAGTGATCAGAACACACCGGCTTCTGCTGAAGACGGCATACAATAAAGTGTGATAGATGGACTGAATTGTCTTTGCATTTCAAGCTACAAGAAGTTCCGTACTACCTAAACTTCAACCTGCCATGGCTTACAAAATACAGAGGAATATAGAACATATCATTTCACTGTTGTATGTGTACCCAAATGTCACTGTTTTCTACATTACTATCGTAGAAAATCTGAGGCCTCTATGACCACAGTAAAGCTGAAGAGAGCCGCTCATTGGCAGTTATTTTGCTGGAGTTTTCTCCATTTTTCTTCTCGTGGAAAGCCCATCACTAACTGGCTGCCTGGCAGAAGGACAGACAACTCAACAGAGCAGAGAACGGATTATCTGAGTTCTAATCTAGGAAGCTTTTCACTGCTCCTGAGCACCGCTTTGCTATTAGGGGTGAGGAAAGGGGAGAGAAAACCTAAGTGACAAGACACTTAGGTTTGTGTCTAGGGAGAGACTCTGGTGGGAAAAGAAATGGACATAGTAGCTACTGAAATATTCAACCCCAAGTTTAACTCATCCACAACATCTCTACCCCATGATCATGCCAGAACACATGGATTCACCTGAGGTTTGAGTTCCTAAAGTCATTTAAGACAGTTGACTTGTCCAGCTCCCTTTGACTCAGCTGCTGAGTCAATAAGAGGGAAAACTAAAAAGCCAACCAAACAACAAACAAACAAAAGCATTCTAGGGATCTAAGGATATGGGGACAGAAGGTGTCCACTGAACTGGAGTCATACCTACACTTAACAGAAATGGTCTATAAGCACACAACCCTAAAGGTATTTAGGAACATTTATTGTTTACATTGAAAAGTTCTATTGTATAGAAACAGAACCCATTTTACAGTATTGAACTAATCTGAAATACCTTAACTCTTCAACGTATATGTGCAAAATGAAATTACAAAAATGCAGCGTCAATGGTTAAATGAAGCCTATTAAAGATCTGCCATATCCAGGTCTGGTTGTTTGGATGCCACGGGAATGGCATGGAGAAAAAGATTACAAAGGATGCTCTGTACTAACAAGTAACTGTTCTTTTCACTTTTTAGGCACATAAATTTACAACCAACTAGATAGAGTATCTGCAATAGTGACATTAATGCCACTGCGAGACCCATTCAAAAGCAAAATCTGCACTAATGGACTCCTAGAGGCAATGTTTAATTCAGCTGTACAATGTAACTACAAAATGGAAAATTAAATCATTATTATTGTTATTCATGATCAATATTATCATTATCAGTACCTAGAGCCATGTTTGACACAAAATGAATAGATCTTCCATGAATGTATTAATTTTTATTATTACTCTGAATATGAATAATAGAAGGAATATAAAAATATTAAAATGTCCTCATATCTTTAATTTCTAAACTCATCTTCCAAATGTCTGCATTCTTTATCTTGATATGATTCAATTATTTCCTTAAGTCAATTTTCAACCCACTGTTGTCAATAGGTCAGAAATCTATGTCAAACTATGTTTCGCTCAGGACAGAACTCTTCTTCACCAAAAGCTAAAACCGACACCGGAGAGTTTCTTGCTTCAAGTTAGTGAGTCTTAATGGTTGCTAACTTCAAATGATTCAGTCTTGAGAAGAGGTCAAGTAAAAATGTGGTAACAGCCAGATGGAAATTTCCAGAGCTATAGCGGGTAACTGCACTATCTTACCATGAGAGACTCCTCGGCCATCCTAGCATCATTGCACCTGCTCTTTTCATTTCTTCCCTTTGTCCATCTTTTGTTCATTCAACTTAGACACTGATAAGAATCTAAGCAGCTTCCACACACAAATCAGAACATGCTAGATATGTCTGCCTAGTCCTATGGAGCTTTCCCTTACCTTCCTGTTGCCTGGCTTGCAAAGTCTGTCTTCTAGAAATAAGAACTGACCTTTTATAAGCCTACAGAGCACAGGCTCATCTGGAGAGGGCTGATCTCCTGGCTGCCCTACACCTGGCAAAACCCACCCAACTGTGCCATTCCTTATACTGTGTACCAGGATGACTGAGGAAGAGGAGGAAATACAAAGGTATTTTGGTAAGGGTAGGAAAAGCCCAGGTGTGTTTCCACCTGCAGAGGGGTATTTTCTACTCCAGAGAAGGCATATCACTACCTTCACGAACAGCCCTCCATATCTTGTCTGCTGTGAAGGCTTGGTAGCATCAACAGACAGGTGAACTCCAAAGAGGATACTTGCGTTTCTAAGTTTTCACAAGTAGCATGCTACCCATGAAGTGCCTGCAAAGTCTACCACTGCAGTCATTATGTGTGTTCATTTGGTAGACTGGCTTGGTCTCTTTTTGCGCCACCAAATTCAATTAACATTTAGAGAAGTACATGCTGTGTGGACTCACATTTCATCTTCTTAATGACCCAAGAAATTTGACTGGATCCAGGATTTGAAACTTAGGCCTTCTCCAGACTTTAATATGCATTTTCCAACTTAAATAGCTTACCTATTAGTGAATGGTCAACTACTTGTGATGTAATGCTAATAAGGCCAAATTCATGAGCTCAGTTTTCATTAGCTAGTTACTTTGCTCTTTCTAAGGTCAACTGTCTCATTCTTAATAAGTCAGAGGTATCCAGGCTCATCATGATCACTGGAAGAGTTCTAAGTTTACATACCACCAATGTTGGGCCTGAGGAGACCTAGAGAATGACTCACTGAGACTCATACCAGTTCAAGATATGACCCAGAGTCTCATTCCATAACCTGCTAGCATATATAAAATTCCCAGTAGCTCTAGCTCAGAACATTCCATATGAAAAAAAAAATTCTTGTCTTAAGCCAAATAAATACGGTTTTGCTTAACTAGACTTAAGAAGTTCCTTAAGAAAGACAGCCATGTAAAAATAAATTTGTGTCAGTTGTGGTGATAGACACCTATAATCCTAGAGACTCAGAAGGCTGAGTCAGGAGGATCACAAGTTCAAGGCCAGTTTAGTCTCAGCAAATTAGCAAGACCCTCAGCAACTTAGACCCTGTCTCAAAATAAAAGGGACTGTGGATAGAGCTCAGTGGTAAAGTGTCTCTGGGTTAAATCCTTAGTACCCCAAAACAACGGCAAACAAAAACCAAAAATCCATGAATAAAACAAAAACATTTGCATGCAAGAGAGGCCTGGGTGAAAAGAGTAGTACATGAGCAGATGTCAAAATGATCCTGAAGAGTAAGAAAGAGCCACTTACAATAATATAATAATAAAAAGACTATTTAAGGGTGGTTTCTTAGAAGGACTCTTCTGTACAGTGAATCAAGAGGGGCATTTACAGTAACATGAATGTGATGCAAAGCTAAACTCACCTTGGTCTGCGCAGGCATCTTTTTCTGTGTCTTCAGCGTCGTGGTTTCCACTTTGGGAGCAGTGCTCGTGAAGGGAATCTTTGGAAGAGGTCGAGATGTCGTCAACTCTGGACTCTCTATGTCCTCATCGCCTCCTAAAAAGTCAGCAAACATGAGCTGGGCAGGTGAATCATTACATGGATGAGTACATCATCAGGCGACAGTATCTGACATTGACACTAACAGAGGCAGGCAAAGAGTTCTTTCAAAATACCAATCCTTGAGAATTGAGCGCAAACCCTCCTGGTCTTCACAGCAGGGAAGGGATTTCAAAGGGGATCTGGGGGTAGCCTGGCCATTTTTTTTTTTTTGGTGATGTTATTATCCTGAAGACTCTTGATAGCCCCTTTTCCTGCAGCCCTGCTCAGTAAGATTTCTTCCCTTCTATGTTGAAACATGTTCCTTTCCTCATTTTTAAAAACATAACAAAATACAAAAAAAAAAAAAAAGGAAGAAAGAAAGGTCTCCCACAGCTGACTCCTCATCTCATGGTAGGCCCCCGCCTGCTCCTCCTTCCAGAACTTTCCCAAGGGTGGTTTGGACCTTCAGGAGCTCATCCCATCCTCCCCATCTCCTCCACTCTGCTTGGCTCCTCCAGTTGATTCTGTCATTATACTATTGATGCTTTTGGTTAAGGTCACTTATGTCCTCCATGTTACCATAGCCAATGGTCCTCATCTAATCAAATCTCACTGTGATTATTTGGAAAAGTGCTTCCCAAAGGTCCATGTATTAACGGCTTGATTCCCAGCTCACGGTACTATTGGAAGGTAGTAGAAAACTGAAGAAGTGGGGCCAAATGGAAATCCAGTGATTGGAGGAATGCTCTTGAAGGGGATATTGTAGACCCTTTCTATCTCTCTCTTTTGCTTCCCAGCCACCACAAAGTCAGTGGCTTCTCTGCTGTGTGTTCTCACAGGCCCCAGCAATGAAGCAACCAACCATGGGCCAAGACCTTCAAAACTATAAGCCAAAATAAACCTTTCCCCTTTTTAATTGATGATCTCATGTATTTTGTTACAGTACCAAAAAGCTGACCAACGTACACCTAGCGCCACTGGACAATGTCAACTGCCATCTCCTTAACATACCGTTTTTGGGTGTGTCCATAACTTGCTGGCTTTGCCCTATTTCTCTATTCAAAGTTTCCTTTGCAGGTTTACTTCCTCTGCCAGAATGCCAAATATCAAGAGTTCCTTGAGGATAAATACTAGGCATCTTCCCATTTCTCTCACCTATACCTATGGCTTCATCAACTAAATATGGATGATACTTAAAATTCATATCACTAGTTTTACTGTTCCTCTCAAATTCAGACCCATACATCTAATGGCCTGACATTTTTACTTGAATGACTCAAAAAATAATAGACTTCTAACATGTCCAAAACAGAGCTCACAATCTCTTCTCCTTTACCCCAATAACCCAATCTTCTCCCCATGTTGCCCCACAGTGACTGGAACCCCCATCCCTACATACCAGAACTGTGATTTCTTCTTTCTTACTTCCATATGGAATCTGCCACCTAGTCCTTTCCATGTCACCTTCTTAATGTCTCTCTACTCTGATACCTTTCTGCAGTCCTGGATTCCACCCTGATCCAAGCCACTGTGAGCTTCTCAGGAACCCCTACACCTGCCTTTTTCTAATAGGCTGCCTTTCAGTTGATTGAAGTCCACTGTCTACAAAGTGGTGGTGATCCTCCTCGTCCCTCTGTTTAAAACTCCTACAACAGCAGCCCTCTGCTCCTGGGGTGAATGCTTCCACCCAGCCTACCCCTTCTGCCTCTCAAGTGTTGTTGTCCCCCCTATTCCAACCATGATGCCTCTCCTCATCCTTCTGCCAGAAACCCTCCCTAGTTAACTGCTAATCCACCCCTGACCCCAGAGAGGACATTCCGTCCATATCAGGTCAGAGTTCTTTGCCAAATCATGTTTTGTACTTTCTTACCTAATTGTGTTTATAAAAATCTCTAATTATACATTTATTTGTGTAACTATTGATTGAAGTCTCCCCCAACCAACTGGAAAGTTCATAAAGCTAAGGGATTGCACCTCTTGTGCTCTCTGAGTGTCCAGCAGTGTCAGGGGCCATATAGATTCCAATCTGGCCTCTACTGTTTATTTTGCCTCCTTTTTTTCTTTTCTTTCATCTTGAACAGCATTTTGAGAATTTTTGACATTCAAACATAATATTGTTTTTAGAGTTAATCATTTGTCAAGTTTGTTAATAACCCAAACCCTGTAACAATTGAAACTAACCTGCTTCCTCAGATGAGGATAAATGATGAATACCTCTGAATTACTCAAACCGAACACAGAATATGGTTTATATGTTCTCCAGAACTCTGACATGATGTGGAAGAAATATTCACACCCATGTAATAGGCAGCTCTGAAAGCAGGAGGTCACAGGCTGGCAATTGTGCAATGGCTATCGCTCTCAGTGTCTCAACTGCCTCCTTCACCTGCAGAGCATACTCACTTGTTCCAGAGAAGAACTCACAGGCTATATTGGAATAAATACCTTAAAACCAACCAACCAAACTACTATTGGTTCTAGAATTTTTTTAGCTCTGTAACCTTAATCAATTAATATTAATTTCTTCACCTGTAAAATGGAAATAATAACAACGTGTTTTCAGGTGCATATACAATCATACATCACTTAACAACGGGATTCTGAGGAAACGTCATTAAGCATTTTCATCACAGTGCTAACGTCATCGAGTATGCTTATGTAAACCTAGATGGTATCACCCACTATGCACGTGGGCTGTATGATGTGAAATCAATCAAACTTTCTCTCTTTCTCTCTCTCATCTATCAATATGTGTATATATTTATTTATATAATATAACCTATTGTTCCCAGGGCTGCAATGAACAAAACAAAAATCAAAATCAAGCACAAAAGAAAACAATGTAATCCACAGAGATGCAGTAAACACAAGATGTATGAGGCTGCTTTTGGAATAACAGTAGATTACAGTAAACATTTTTCTTTTATAAATAGAAGCACCCTTTAAAATAATGATAAAGAGTATAGCACAGTCAATACAAAAGCCAGTAACCTGGTTTGTTCATTATCACTGTCAAGTACGTGAACAATTATACATTCTATATTTTTACACAACTGTTAGCACAGTAGGTTTCTTTACAGACATGTGAGTAGTGTATTGTGCTGTGACATGGTGACAGCTACAACGTCACTAGGCAATAGGTTTTTTTTTTTTAAATTTTTTTAGCTCCTTCTAATCTTATGGGACCACGGATATGTATATTCAGTCCATTACCAACCAAAGTATCATGCTGGGGTACATGAGTATATATTAATCACAGATGTGCTACATATTGGGAAGCAGCCTGTACGTATAAAGTGTCATGGAAAAATAAGTCATTAATGATAGTTCCAGAATTACACTGTGCTTTTATATCAGCCTACCTGATTATCCATCAAAGTTTTACATCCAATACACTTGATTTGTTACTATGATGAATCATTTTCTTACAAAGAATAGAATTTCAACGAGAAATAAAAAGTTTCAATTAAAGGGCTTTCAAGATCCCCATGTTTCATGAGAATTCCAAAAAATGTGAGTCACCAGATAGGAGTGGGGAGAAGCTGTGTGAGAGAAAAGATCTGCAAAGCACAAAACCCCCTCAAACCAGTACTTCTGAAGGTGGAGACAGATGAGGAACCTGCCTCAGCTACGGTTTTTATTTATTTTTTTTTTAATGAAAAGAAACTCTTTTAACCAAAAGAAATCAGGGATCCCCTTTGATGACCTCCCTGATTTTTGGCTCTTGCTATTCTTCCAACGTGGGATACTCCACCCCAGAGTCTTTTTCCACTTGACAAACCCCTGTATATATTATCTCACTCAGCAATGATATCATATCCTCTCTGAAGTCTTCTGTGACCTCTTCATTATGGACTTCTATCTGTATGTTCCCACTGCTCACTATATCTCCTCCTCCTTTTTTAAAAAACAAACAAACAAACAAAAACTTCTTCTCTACTATGATATGGTCTGAATGTTTGAGCCCCTTCAAAATTCACATATTGAAACCTAACCCCCAATACAATAAGAGGTAGAGACTTTAGGAGGTGGATAAGGTCATGAAGGCCCTCGTGAATGGAATTAGTGCCTAATTAAAGAAACTCAGGGAAGTTGGTTTGGCCCTATGCCATTTGAGAATGCAGCAAGAAAGCATCATCTATGAAGGAAAGCAAGCCTTCACAAACACCAAACCTGATGGCCCTTGATTTTTTACTTCCTGGCCTCCATAACTGTGACCTAATAATTTATGCTATTTATAAATTACTTCATCTAAAGTACTTTGTTATAGCTGCCCAAATGGACTAAGGCAACTTATAAAAAACATTTTAAAAAAATGAATATATATATTCACAGATGAACTACACAAAGGAATAAAGAGAATTAATCCACCCCAGCAGAGAACGCTTTGTTAAATTTTACATACTGGAGTGTTCCTAGAATGCCTACTGTTCCTTCACGTTATAGATGGGTAATAAATGCTCGTTTATGAATGAATGAATAGGCTCTTATCTTCTAATGAGTTTTCCCACTTGGACATGAGAGTTATACTCACCAAGAACTCTAGGGCTCTCAGCATGTTCCTGTTTTATGGTGTCCTGTTCTTGCTTCACAGTTATAAAATCTCCTTGACGTTAACAAGGTTTTTTTTTTTTTTTTTTTCCGTAAGTTCTCTTTGTTCTGTGATTTTCTGTCCTCTCTCCATTTGGGGGTTGAAGAAATCTCTATTTTTCATGTTAAAAGTTTTTCAAAAATGCCTAGGGAGCTATAATTGTCTTTCATATTCACACACAGAAAATCTGCCTGGAAACTCTGATCAGATAGGAGAAGTTTGTCAAATGTCAGCATCACCAGTTAAGAGACATGTGTTTTGTTGGAAAGTTCCCAATGATGCTATCTCTGAGTTTTTTCTTTTGAGTTGGTCCAATATCACAAAAAGGAATCTCACAGTCCCCTACCTAAAAGGTAAAGGACAGATAGCCAGTGTTCTGGGAAATGATTGGGAGAAATCGACAACTGGGAATATCTCAGCATTAAATAACTCTTCATCAAAGAACTTATTATCACTTTAAATACAGTCTCTCCAGCCCAAAGACTCTCTGTTTTATTCCAAATAACATACCTCCAGTTTTTCTCTGATTTTTGTTGCATGATAAAGGGAAGAAATCAAAGGAACTACTTGCTTCTTAAAGATATCTTCAAGAGAATGCCCTAAATTTATTATCACTTTCCATTTAGTGCCACTGATTCCTGAACCCCCAGGGGATTCTGCTACATTGACTGGTTTGCCCCTTGGCTCTCCCCTCTGTTGGCTAACTGGATCTTCTCAAGTCTTCTTAGACTGTTACTATCAGTCCATCTGCTTCCCGGCTTTCAAAACCCTGTGGCTTTTGTCTCCTTGACTGTCTTGTTTATCCTTGTAAGTTTACGACCAATTCCTTTATTATCAATTTAGCTGGGTCCTGGAAGGCATGTGCATTCAACCTGTTATCTTTAATCAAAGGTCTAATATTGAACTCTTAAATTTTTGTTGGATAACACTTTCCTACATTATGTCACCTATCACATGGTGTTACAAAATATTTTTTTTCCTCATTCAACATTTCTCTCATTAGATTCTTGGTCTCTTGGGGATGGGAACCAAGTCTTTCCCATGTGTGTTCCAAGAATATGGCATCATGTATGGCACCCAGTAAATACACAAGAATGTGCTTGTGTTTGCTAATGCCTATTCTGAGTCTAATAAATAATGTGAGCCCATCTCCTTGCCTGAGAAGTACCCTCTGGGCCATTAGACATTCTCTTCCGGGCCATCTGCTTTTCTACTGGATAGCCTAATAGGATTTAGGCCAGATGGTACATTGGCCAAAACTTGGGGATTCCTGGTATTTCCAGCTGAGACTGGGCAAGGCTTCTTAATTCAAGAATGGGGTTTTATGACACAAGGAGACAGTATGGTAAGGGACTAGAATGGAACATTCTCCAGCCCCACGCCCATCCCTTGCCCCAGCTCCATTACTTTCTGACAGTATGACTGGAGGCAAGTTCTTTAATCTCTCTATACCTCTGGTTTTCTCATGTGAAAAATGGAACCATAACAGAATCTACTTTTACAGGGATGTTATAAGGATTGGAGCAGTAGCCCCTTGCCCTGCAAAAGCAAGTGCTTCACAAACTTTAGTTATGACTGCTACTACCACCTTTAAGCTGAAAAACAATATCCACAGCACAATACAAGGTGGTTTCCAAAGTCAAGAACAATGTTTTTTTTTTTTTTTTTGTTTATTGTTTTACAGCAATGATTTGCCTAAAGGTAGAACTTAGCTGAAGCAACTGGGCCACATTTATCCATCTAATCTATCTTGATCTGATTCGTGGGTTCAGGATTTCAAATGACACACTCCAACTGCCTTTCACCTGGGTGAGTAGGGAGAGCAGATGAGCAGAACCGTGCACCTGTTTTCTTTAAATTAAGGACAATCTTGGCAGAAGTCAGCAAAATGACCTGGACAACTCTTTACAGATCCCTAACAACTGTTGTATCCTAAGATCTGTGAAATGGGGGCAAAAATGTCCGTATTTATTATATTCTGCAACACTTTGAAAATGACAGTTACAAAACACTTTTGAGGTGCACTCGCTCTTTCTTTCTCTCTCTCTCTCTCTCAGAGAAAAAAAGAGGTGCCATGAGTGAAAGATATTAATAGAGTTGTGGGCTATGGAGAACAACTCTCTTCACACTCATTCTGCGTGTGTGATATACAGCACCCTCCTAAGAATAACTGGGGCTATTTTTACATTAGGATTACATTGTAAGTATGTTGTTACTAGGTCAGCACCACCTCTCCTATATTTCTCAGACTTGCCATTCTCCAACTTAAAACACTCTTATATGGACAGATCTTTACCAAAGACACAATTGATTTGAATTTGCTCTGGATCATTCTGAAGCCTAGACCAATCTGATCATCACACATCTATATTCAGCATAACTTTTACCATTTGTTGAATCTACAATAAATCCTAAGCAAAAGGCATGGATAAGATTTTTCTTGCAAGCTGCTGACCTCAAATTTCTGAGTTGTCCATTAAATATATGCACAAGGGGGCTGGGTGTGGCTCAGTGGTAGAGTACTTGCCTAGCATGTGTGAGGCACTGGGCTTGATTCTCAGCACTGCATATAAATAAATAAATAAATAAAATTCCATCAACAATTAAAAATGTATATTTAAAATTTATATATATGTACACCAGATACTTCTTGTTCTCAGTTTCATGGGGGCTATTCCTGACACAGATGAAACATTTACCAGATAAGGTAGATTAAAAAATGGTAGGTTCCTTTATTCCTCCTTGGACCTATGTTGTCTACAACGTGACTGTAACTCAAGAGACAGAGTTAGGCTGGGGGTGTAGCTCAGTGGTAAAGCATTTGCCTAGCATGCATGAGGACCTAAGTTCAGTCCACAGTACTGCCCCCACGCACCAAAAAAGTGAAGTCTGAGCTAGCCTTCTGAGTTGCTTTGACCAATAAAATGTGGCATAAGTAATGCAGTACCAAGTTATAAGCCTAGGATGCAGGAAGCTCTGCACATTTCTACACGCTGCCTTGGTTGGGATCTCTGCTCTTCCCTGTGAACAAATGGCTGGACTCCTGGAGGATGACAGACTGTGTGAACCAGAGCCAAGTCTGCCCAGGTGCCCCAGAGAGATGATAGAGTCCAGTCAAGACAGCCAAGCTGCAGGCCCAGCCTATGGCTGACCACCGACACTTGAGGCAACAGCCCTAACTTGCTGACCTGCTGAGGAATAAAGTAAATGAATGCTAGCTGCCCTCCATCACTCAGTGTTGGGGTGATTTGTCACACAGCATCATGGAAATGACAGATAACGTATATACCAAGGAAGCTATTTTACTTGGCTGCTTGCTCATTTTCCCTCCTACTTTTAAGCAATAGACTAGGGAGGGAAAAAAAAAAAAAACTTCTTGGTCTCATCTATAATCTTTAACATGGGGCAGGCAGTTTTATGAAACTTGTGCTTGAGGGATTTCTTTAAGGGTGGTTTCTATGACATCACCCTGAAAGTCTTAATAATAAAAGTTTAAGCTTATGTGTCAACTCCTTTAATCCTCACAACAGCTCTATGTGCTAAAGATGATTATGGCTTTCTTTTTTTAATAAATGAGGAAACTGAGGCTCAGCATAGCTAAATAAATCCCCAAGCTCTCACAAGCTGGAATTCACACACATACACTTCAGATGCAAAGACCATGCTCGTAACTGCCCTGCACGCTGCCTGTCTAGCACAGTGAAATTGTGTGTGCACATGCACAGAGAAAGGCCTACAGCAGTGGCCTTACCCGAGCCGGATGCAGAAGCATAGTCGTCATCATCAATAGGATACACTCCCGAAGCTTCTTCAATGGAGCTGTTGTCAAGGTACATGTCTTTATCAGATGTCAGCTCTGCTCTCTGAGAAAGAAAAGACAAGGCATTCAGGATGAGAGATTTTAAAATGAGGAGAGATTTTAAAATGTGCTTATTTATCTTAGTGTTTAGATTTACACAGTGGTAACTGGCTCTCCCTCTCCTCTGTTCTTCTGAATCTACATGCCTAGCTTAGCTTTCTCCTTACTCAGGACACTCGACAACCTGTATTAAATCAAGGGCTGATCATGGACTAATGCCCCCAAGAGAAGCCAGTACTAGCCTAATCCAGTAGAATGAAGACAGTGCAGAGACCTAAGCACCTCTCACGGGCTTATTTTGTTCCATTCCACTAAACTTGTCAGAATTTCAGTCATCCCGATGATAGTGATAAGCAGTCTCAAGCATTCTTTTCTTCACAAATGAGGTGCCTTTACTGTAAAAAACTACAAACACACCAGTCGCTTGTCTTTCTTGGGTTGCACTTAAAGGTATTACAGTGCTTAGGATAAATAATCACCTGGGGATCCACCAAGGCACACCAAATGCTTACAGGCCTGGCCATGCTCAGCTTTATCACTGCAGATGAGAGCTCTTCAGCCACCCAGGCAATCCAGAGCTTTCTGCCACAGTCCAGATCCATGATGATGTCAGGCGGGGCCCCATGTGGAGCGGGGACCTATGGGGCTCATCTGCCAAGGCCGAGATCCCACTGCGAGCCCACTTCTAGGGTTTACTGGCTTAGCAGAGCCTTAATGACAAACACAGATAAACCCACAAGAGCACTTTTTAAAATATGTATTACTGGCACTTGGTAATAGCAAACCACAGGCTTAATACGCAGAGGGATCAGTCACAAAGTATACCAGTTCTACAGCTTCTGAGCTCTTCAAGAAGAGTCGAGTATTAAAATTCAACCTAATCCTGCCAAAGGAGTCACTTGCATGAACTGGAGACACAGCAGAAGCAGAAATTCATTATTTATTTATTTATTTATTTTGGTTTGTTAAAGGTTTTAGTAAATTGATATTTTATCACCAGTATCTCGGACTGGCAACCTCTAAGACCTCTAAGCAAAGTTCTTATTTGGAATAGGCAACACTCATTATTAGCCTATTTTAAAAGATGGAATTGAATGTTTGTTCCTAACAGGAATTTATAAAAAAATGTTTCCCTTACACTGTTGGTTTTCATTGGATTTCTTCTGAAAATAATTTTTTTTTTCTTTTAGCAGTCATTACAGACAGCACCTCCTGGGGTGGGTGAACAGGACCAGTCTAACAGCGCTGCTTTATTCTCTCAAGTTTCAGCGCTGGCTAGAGAGGCCTACGTATTTTAAACCTGAGCTACATTCCTCCCAGGCCTGGGTGCCAACTGACAGGAAAATATGGCAATCATTTTGTTTGAGCTATCACACTGGCAGATTCTGAGGGCTGAAACCTTAGGGATTGGTGTTCCAGTGGCCTGGCTTGCAGGCTCTGAGTGAGCCGAGCCAACAGTGTGTCAGAACTTTTCTGCCCAAATGGTCAGAGCTTATACCTCTATGATCCGAAGTGGTCTTGCATGACACGGTTTCTAAGGCCATCACCATTCCAGGCTGCAATCCCTAAACTTGCAAACTGAACAGGGAGTCCAGCATTCCATGGCTCTATACCCAGCCTAACTGACCCCCACTAGACTCACAGCTCCCTTGAGGGAGAGGAGTGTAGAGCCAGCCAGCCACACTTGTGGGTTCTGCATCCATGGATTCAACCAACTGGGGACTGAAAATACATTTTAAAACACTAAGTCTGTACCGAGCATGTAGAAATGTTTTTGCTCATCATCATTCCCTAAACAATATGGCATAACAATTAATTATACAGCATTTATGCTATATTAGGTATTATTAGTAATCTAGAGGTGATTGAAAGTATATAGGAAGGTGTGTATAGCTTATGTGAAAATACTATGCCATTTTATGTAAGGGACTTGAGCGTCTATGGATTTTGGTATCCAAGGCAAGTACCAGATCAGTCTTCCATGGATGCTGAGGTCTGATGTACCCTATTTGTTTTTAACCTCCCAGCTCCCCATCAAATCAGAAAGCCTGGTCTACAGCAGGTGCTCAGTAAACACTGCACTCTCACCTAATAGCTACTCTCAGTCTCGCCTGTATTAAAACTTGTCCTCTAAACTTTACCAGAGGACACTCTTATTCACTGTCAAACCCTTTCTACTTTTCAAAATAGGCTCTGACTTCTCCAGCCCTTAGTTGTAGTCTGAGCTATTTCAGATTTTGCAGCTTATGAACAGCGAAGACATACATTCTCACATTATTTCTAGTTAGTACATATGTGTTTGTCTAGTTCCCTTGGAGAACAGTTTGTTGATGCAGGCCCTGAATACCCTGTGAACTTGCTCTCTGTCCTCCTCCAAGTATATGGGTACTCAATAAGTATCTGTCAACTGAGATTACTTAAACCAAATTGACTTAAGTAACCTTTGACTCAGGTTTCGAGATAACATATGTCCCAAGACCTTCAGAATTCCTATAGTTAAAAGTCTCTTGATCTTAAGGATAAAAAATCATTTGCCCCAAACTTCCCATTCCTTGCATTGCCATCTACTTGTGTAACCCAGAGTCTTAAAAGGAAGAAAAAGATTCCCTTTATATTTTAGAAACTGGTTTCCCATTCCTTAATATTAAATGGCTCTCATTTTCCTCTTGGCTCTGTCAAAGAAATTTGATGTGGCAAAGGTTAACACTGAGATACTTAATCCCTATGTGTAAATTGAATTTCTATTCATTAGATGACCTGGTTGTTGGGACTAGCATATTTGTCACACTAATAGGCAGGTGGGCCAAAAACTTCTCCCAGAGAATCCTATCCACCTCACACTTCATCCACACTGGGCAGCCTGACTTCTTAAGAAGTACCCGTGAGCCCCGTATTACTGCAAGACTTGGGGTGAAGGCCAGAACTAGTCTAGAGAAACAGGTTGTTTGTCCTCAGCCACTTGGGGCATGCAGGACTCCAGGGTGGCCCCAGGACTGATAGGATGCTTACTGTATTTGAGGGCAGCCCAAAATATTTGTTTTACTGCGGTGCAAATAATTTTGACATCAAACTGCAACAAGTTCTCTCCCATTCTGATTTCAGAGACATCAGAACACAGGGAGAATTATTAATATCTTTCTGTAGAGTCCAATTTAATTGCAAGCAGGGCTCTTTTCATTTTGTAGCAGATAATGCTCCAAAAATATCTCCATTGTTCCCCCCCTCAAAAAAAAAAAAACTTCCAAAAACAAGCCAAATTCCTTTTACGAAGACTCCACACTCTTGTGCAGGTAAGGATTTTGCTATTCCCTGCTTGGAGAGGGAAGTAAATTATACAACAACATCCCTTTAAGACAATAAGATGTGCATCAAAAAATTGATTTTATACCTGGCCAAATGTAGTCAGTCTTGCTGCACAGAAAACCCCAGGATGGTATATATTCTGCATACCCTCACTTGCTTAATGGGACAGAGCAAGTAGATGGAAGCAACTGGAAAGAAATGCACAGAGGCACATAGCTGCAGCCTGACTGTAGGATTTCGTAATGAGGTCATTTACTTTGGGACTGACCGTGGCTGTGAGGTGGAGCCAATACTGTTGGCTAATCGTGTTCAGAGTACAAGCTGGAAGAAAAACAAAGCTGGTCATCAGACTTCTCCCCCTTGGATGATGCAATATAGGAATATAGGAGACCAAGGGTTAGCCATGGAAAGGATGGGGTAACACAAAGAGGAAAACGTACTGCACAGAGAGAAAGAGATCCACTTCATGCCATGTTCAGCCAGGAAGACGGAAGCACAACACCTCCAGCAGACTGACCTTCTGGAGAAGAAGGCACATCTGGTGCAATTTTTGTAACCCACAATGACTAGAAGGAAGGCAAGACACAGATTTGTCTCAACTCCATTCCTCCTTCTCTGGACCTGGGATTTCAGCAACCTTATTGCACTGGGCCTAGACCATTCCTAGGGCCACCCAACTTGGCCATAGCCCAGGTCTTTGTCTTTACAGTCTTTCTTTGCAGAAGGACCATTCTTAAGCTCAAATGTAACCACACCATCTGCCCTGTGAAACACCCTGCCTTGGCTCCCTGTCACTACTAGGATGACATAAAATTTCCTTGGCCTAGAAGGAAGCTCTCTAGCCACATGGCCTCACCTGCATTTCCAGTGTCAGCTACTCCCACTTCCTCCACCCAAACCCAGGAGCAAAATCACCATGGAGCAAACATCAATGACATCAATTTCCTTCATATAAATCCCAAAGAGGAAATAAACTCCTTTACAGATGAAAAACTGTGAAAGCAACGGTGAGCTCCACTTCCATACCTTATGATAAAAACTAGATTTTAATAGAATGATTGAGCCCAATATAGTGTCTGTAAAAAAATGAAGAGAAACTGTTGATTTAATACACACACGATCAAGTGTACCAGTAGTCTTGGCATCCCTGTCCATTTTCTCAGTAAAGACAATTTGTGGGATAACAACTGAACAAATCTACTTGTTGGATTTTTCTCATGTGGGAATAGCCTACATTGAACAAATAAATACATGTTTCAAATCACCAGTGTGAAAATCTGTTATTTTGAAATCGGTGGCGTTCCTTGAAAGATATCTACTGCAAAATGTCTTTCAAATGCTTTGAAATTAGTGCAACCCATACAGTGGAACAAGAAAATTAAAGCTCAAAGCAGTTCACTTTATCACTTAAATTGAGTTCACAACACATTAGAAGGTAGAAAACCTAACTAATTATGGGTACCCCAGTCCCTACCATCAGAAAATTAATCTTCCAACATAAAAATAAAAGCTCCATATGGCCTAATGAAACATTTCTGTATCTCATCAGACAAAACAAACACCTAGATGATGCCCCTTAATTTTATGATAAAGGAATGTCTAGCCCTGATTTAGACTCAAATGTATATTAACTTTTATGGTAATTACAGGTACCAAACAGGCTGTAACTTCAGCTTATCTTACCATGGTTGACTTAGTAAA